ACAAATAAAATAAAGACAGATGAATATAAATAAAATATGAGAATAACAAAAAGAAAAAAATGAAAAACAAATGACAGACGAAAAAGACAAATTAAAAATTAACAAAAAAAGCTGAAACAAAAGAATAAAAAACAAAGACAAACAACACAAACGAATTACATAATACATATATAAATAAAAGTGATAATAGTAATATATTTATTATTATTAAAGAAAAAAAAAACTAATGAAAGAAAAACTTTAAAGACAAAAAAGAAACAAAATAAACAAAAAAGAGTGAAAGAATGAAAAAAAAGACAAAATAAATAGAATAGATCCAAATTAAGGAGAAATGAAAGAGAAAAAAAAGATTAACCAAAAAGGGAAAAATAAACTAATAAAAAGTGAACTAATGAATATAAAATATGACAATATAAAATGCATCATTCAGTCATTCAATTACAAAAAGAGAAAGAAAGAAAGAAAGAAAGAATGGCAGACAAATAAAGACAACAAACTAATTAAGCAGAAACAAAGTAACAAACAAAAAAGAAACAAAAGAAATAACATATACATACATAAAATGATCATACTTAAATTATTAGCATTATTATTATTAAAGAAAAAAACAAAAAGTAAGATATAAAAAAAGCAACAAAATAACCACAAATAAAAGAAAAAAATATAGAACGGAAGAAACAAGTGACACAAAAACAAAAAAAGAAAAGAATAAAAAAGATACAAATTAAGGAGAAATGAAAGGGGAAAAAAACAACTAAACAAGTAAACAAAAGGGGGAAAAGAAAATAGTGAAAACAAAATAAGAGAATAACAAAAAGAGAAAGAAAGAAAGAACAGACAAATAAAGACAAAAAAAATCTAATTAAGCAGAAACAGAATAAACAAAAAAATAAATAAATAAACAAAAGAAAAAAAGAACAAAGTATAGAATGGAAGAAATGAGTGACAAAACAAAAAGAATGACAAAAAAATATAAAAAGAACCAAATTAAGAATAAACAAAAGAAAAAAAAAAACACACAAGAACAAACAATAGAAGACAATAATATACAAAATGAATTAATAAATGACCAAAAAACTAAAAATGAACAAAGAAATAGTTAAATGTACAAAAATATAACAATAATACTAATACAAATAATTATTATTATTGTAGTTTTAATAAGAGTTGCATGAACAAAGCTTCCACTAATTAATACAGTAACTGTAGGCCGTTTACCGTATCTGGTGCAGTAATATATAACTGATATGACATGAACACAGGTGCACATTAAATATCAGCTATTTCTATCGAACGCGGGTCATCGGGTGAGATTTACGAGCTAGAAATATCTGTTTCATAAGCTGTGCTTCTTTCAGAAAGCTTGAGTGGAGCTGACAGCAGTGCAGGTAAAATATGAGCAAGTACTCTTCTGACACACAGTGACGACTTGAATTAGTTTGACAGAGTGAAAACAGAGCGACGGTAAACTGATTAGCGCTGCTAAAAGCAGACGAACGTGTGACGGCTCATGCGAGAGCGATCGCACTTCATAAATCTGAACAACTCGCCGTAATGAACTTACAAACCGTCATCGAAAAGGTATCTGAGCGAAACCGAGCGGTTTTTTAGCACGCTGACGCTCATTCGTCGTTCTTTCGCGAGTAAATCTAATCATATCGTCAGCCGATGGCAAATACCACGGCCGGATGCTTCTGGAAAACACAAAAACACCAAGAAAACTGAAATAGTTTGGTCTAAACTGTCATTTTCGCTTAAAGCATAAACGGGCCAATCAGAGCACGGCGTCACCTCGGTGAACTCGCGGCTAATTGGCTACGCGGCTTAGACTCGCGCCGTGGAGCGCTGTCGCCTCTGTAAGAGGAAGTCGAGGGAATCTGAGCGTTTCAAACACCTCCGGGGAGCCGCGGGAAGCTCACGGCATGGAGACAGTAAATGAAAGCACTAAGTCACTTGAGGTCAAAATGTAGTGATTTTACTATAGTAAAGGGATTTTTTACTATAGGAAAGGGGCTTTGATGCCGTAAAATCCCTATTGCATACAGCCTTGAGTGGCTTATTAATTACATTAAACCAAGTTAAGAGTAAACTGATTAAAGACATAATTTTTTTCCTTTAAAATATTTGTGAAAAAAGTATTATTATATTAAAATGATACAAAAACAAAGCATAAACAAATAAAATAAAGACAGATGAATATAAATAAAATATGAGAATAACAAAAAGAAAAAAATGAAAAACAAATGACAGACGAAAAAGACAAATTAAAAATTAACAAAAAAAGCTGAAACAAAAGAATAAAAAACAAAGACAAACAACACAAACGAATTACATAATACATATATAAATAAAAGTGATAATAGTAATATATTTATTATTATTAAAGAAAAAAAAAACTAATGAAAGAAAAACTTTAAAGACAAAAAAGAAACAAAATAAACAAAAAAGAGTGAAAGAATGAAAAAAAAGACAAAATAAATAGAATAGATCCAAATTAAGGAGAAATGAAAGAGAAAAAAAAGATTAACCAAAAAGGGAAAAATAAACTAATAAAAAGTGAACTAATGAATATAAAATATGACAATATAAAATGCATCATTCAGTCATTCAATTACAAAAAGAGAAAGAAAGAAAGAAAGAAAGAATGGCAGACAAATAAAGACAACAAACTAATTAAGCAGAAACAAAGTAACAAACAAAAAAGAAACAAAAGAAATAACATATACATACATAAAATGATCATACTTAAATTATTAGCATTATTATTATTAAAGAAAAAAACAAAAAGTAAGATATAAAAAAAGCAACAAAATAACCACAAATAAAAGAAAAAAATATAGAACGGAAGAAACAAGTGACACAAAAACAAAAAAAGAAAAGAATAAAAAAGATACAAATTAAGGAGAAATGAAAGGGGAAAAAAACAACTAAACAAGTAAACAAAAGGGGGAAAAGAAAATAGTGAAAACAAAATAAGAGAATAACAAAAAGAGAAAGAAAGAAAGAACAGACAAATAAAGACAAAAAAAATCTAATTAAGCAGAAACAGAATAAACAAAAAAATAAATAAATAAACAAAAGAAAAAAAGAACAAAGTATAGAATGGAAGAAATGAGTGACAAAACAAAAAGAATGACAAAAAAATATAAAAAGAACCAAATTAAGAATAAACAAAAGAAAAAAAAAAACACACAAGAACAAACAATAGAAGACAATAATATACAAAATGAATTAATAAATGACCAAAAAACTAAAAATGAACAAAGAAATAGTTAAATGTACAAAAATATAACAATAATACTAATACAAATAATTATTATTATTGTAGTTTTAATAAGAGTTGCATGAACAAAGCTTCCACTAATTAATACAGTAACTGTAGGCCGTTTACCGTATCTGGTGCAGTAATATATAACTGATATGACATGAACACAGGTGCACATTAAATATCAGCTATTTCTATCGAACGCGGGTCATCGGGTGAGATTTACGAGCTAGAAATATCTGTTTCATAAGCTGTGCTTCTTTCAGAAAGCTTGAGTGGAGCTGACAGCAGTGCAGGTAAAATATGAGCAAGTACTCTTCTGACACACAGTGACGACTTGAATTAGTTTGACAGAGTGAAAACAGAGCGACGGTAAACTGATTAGCGCTGCTAAAAGCAGACGAACGTGTGACGGCTCATGCGAGAGCGATCGCACTTCATAAATCTGAACAACTCGCCGTAATGAACTTACAAACCGTCATCGAAAAGGTATCTGAGCGAAACCGAGCGGTTTTTTAGCACGCTGACGCTCATTCGTCGTTCTTTCGCGAGTAAATCTAATCATATCGTCAGCCGATGGCAAATACCACGGCCGGATGCTTCTGGAAAACACAAAAACACCAAGAAAACTGAAATAGTTTGGTCTAAACTGTCATTTTCGCTTAAAGCATAAACGGGCCAATCAGAGCACGGCGTCACCTCGGTGAACTCGCGGCTAATTGGCTCCGCGGCTTAGACTCGCGCCGTGGAGAGAAACCGGCGAAACGAGCCGCTTTCTCGTCTGTGTTTTCCTCTTCGGGAGGTTTTTTTTCTGTGCTCGTCTAAATAAATAACTGGAGTTCATCCTGACTGACGGTAGATTGGCTGGAGTGACGCTGTGAGACGCTCTCGCGACCAGATAAAGACAGAATCAAGGGCGTTTATTAGCAAACACAGACGGAAATATGCAGATTGGTGTGAAGGAGGCAAACAAACAGCTGGAGATACAGGTGCAGACGTGAAAAGATGGGAGAGTTTTTGACTTCTTTTATTAGGAGGAAGGCCAAGAGACTAACACAATACTAACATTTTATATTAGTATTATATAGTTATTATATAGTATAATAGTCTATAATAGACTTCTTTTATGTCTTTTAGGAAAAACAGTGGCAACACACCAATAAATAAACAAAATAAATAAATAAATAACCAGGAAAAAAATAAAGGTAATATATTAAAATATATATTATTCATAAAATATATTATTTTTTACCATTTTAATTGATATATATATATGTGTATGTATGTATATATTAGTGCTGTCAAAATGATCGCAGACGATAAATTTTTTCAGTTTAACAGCGTTAAAAATATTTGACACGATTAACGCAGGGGCGGGGTTAGGTTGGCCACACCATTCACAACGGCTGATTCTGTCTCATTTGTCTTGACAAAAAATGCATTTATTAAAACAGAAACTTTTTTTGTAAAATGTAATAAAAATGTAATAAGGAATTAACCTATTTATGTATGAGTATTAAAGTATCAAACAATAGTATAAACCTAAAAAAGTAGTAAGGCATGAAGTAACAAGTCAAAGGCGTCCATCAAGCACATTTGTACAGAAAAATGATTAAATGCCAGTGCACTGTAATTCAAAAACACGTTCTGTGTGAACCGGCCTTTAGCTTAACACATTAACGCTGTTATAAGTCTCTTTGCATCATGAGAAGCACATGTGAGGTGTGTTACTCACTGGCGTGGACCTGTAGACCGCAGCTCCCGCAGGACAGCAGGACGCTGGTGCCGTCGTCACCGATGTGGGAGTTCGACGGCAGCGGTTCGGTGTTCTCGGCACCCGCGCTGAAGCACATCTCTGGAACCAGCGGACGCGTGCGACAGCCGACCCGCGACAACAGACCGGACGTGTCTGAGAGGTGGAAGGGGTCTTTAACGGGCTAAACACGCACAAAAACACAAGAGAGAGGAGAGCATGCTAAACCAAAGAGAAATAAACACGGATTTAAAACAACTTCCACTTCAATCGGGCAGTTTTTGGTTAAAAAAGTATTGAAGTGGACCAGACTTTGTGCTGATAGTCAAAAGTCTGATTATGTATTATGATATACTATTATGTATTGATGACATACTATTTCAGTATTTTGATACTGTAGCAGCGCTCAGTGCATTACCTGTGTGTACGGACAGAAGAGCGTGCAGACGGCGCAGTGCGGCTCGATGGTCGCCATCGCAGCGTTGAACTGTTTCTCGGCCAGGAAGTTTGGCAAACGGTTTTGCCACAGCGCGCTCTCCTCGGACTTCTTGGCCTCCGGCTGAACGCCGCCACCTACAGGCAGCCCAGAGTACATCTCTACAGAAACACAGAGAGAGACGACGTGTGTGAGAATCACATCAGAGATACACACTACAGCTAGGGCTGTGCAAAAAATCGAATGCGATTTTCATGCTCATCTTGTCAGTAAAGCCGGTTCTGTGATTAGTAGTAAATCTCCAGCTTGTGCAGACAGATGGAGCGGCATTTACTACACAGAGCCGTAAATCACTGACAAGCTACGCAAAATCACGTTCATAATCGGCAATGAATCGCCTGCGATTTTGCGTAGCTTGTCAGTAAACAGTCTTATCAGATAGATAGATAGATAGATAGATAGAACGAACGAATGAACAAATGATAGATATATATATATATAGATAGATAGATAGATAGACAGATAGATAGATAGATAGATAGATAGATAGAATGACTGAACGAACGAACGAACAAAAGAACGAACGAACAAAAGAACGAACGAACGAACGAACGATAGATAGATAGAGATATTTAGACAGACAGATAGACAAATCTTTAGACAAACTGACAGATATTTAGATGTCTAGACAGACAGATGCAACAATAATTGTAAAATGTGCAGAAGCTAAATAAGAAGAATTTTAATGCGATTCTGCCTCGTAAGCACTGAAAATGCACATAGTTTAGAGCTAAATTAATCAGATAGAAGTGAAACATGGCTCAGTATGAGTGTTGTCCTCTTCCTCTGAGCCGTGACTCTACAGACAGCAGGTGAAGATGTATTTTTGGAGAGATTTGATGCCCCCTACAGTGACAGCGGGTGGTGCGGGTTTACAGCTGTCTGTCTCTTCATAACTCACAGCACAGACAAATCAATAACCATCTTTCACACGCCCCGTCTTATAAAGCGCTGATTGTTTGTGGCTGCTTTCTTTCATACTTTATTGCTTTTGCTCTTTGTGCTCGCGAGTGTACACTTTCACAACAAACAAACAAACAAACAAACACAAAACAACATGTCGCCATCAAACCAGAACACTCTGAAATGAAACGCCGGCCTGAAATGTTCTAGAAACATTCATATTGTAAAAACATATCTAACTTTTAACATCTTTTTCTTCAGTGGAAAATATGCCATCAGACATTTACCCAGGGTGCAAAGTTTCTTTTGTTCTCCTGAACTCCATGTGATAACAATTGCTGAATATTGTAATTTAATAACTTGCATTGTCATAAATTGGGCCTCATTCAAGAAGCTAGTAAAACAAATTTACAAATCATTTCTAAAACTTTTCTTCCATAAATTAACCAATAATTTTCACCAATTTAAAAAGTAACACAAATTTACATACTTTTTTTTTTTTTTTTATACATCTTTTAAGAACATCATGAAGTTCACTCATGAAACAATGAAATGTCACAGATTTAAATTTACATAGGATGTTTTTTACAAACAATTCTACAAACGTCATTCGATTTTACGACTATGATTTTACGACTACAAATTTTATGGTCATTTATGAAACTAGCAAGACAATTTTGCGTACATTTTTCATAAAACTATTCTAATGCAAATTCAAAAATTTAAGAAAGAATATTTTTACGAATGTCATTCAATTTTTTTATGGACATTATTGGATTATATGGACAAAAAAACATGCAATTCAAGATCAGCTTTATGAACAATTTAAAAATTGTCTAATTAAAATTTGAACATCATTAGTTTTTTCGTACATTATTTCAAATATAATTTTTGAAACGTGAGGAAAAACGAGTTTCTGTGCATGCAAGAATGGCTCCATAAACATTTTCATAAGTCCTCTGATGTCACTAAGAACTTTCAAAATGAATTAATGTAAATTTTTTGGAAAACTATACTAACAAAAATTTCTGCATTAAATTCAATGAATTATGCATGAATAGTTTATGAACATCATTGATTTTACTGGCATTATTACAAACTACATTTAAAAAAAAAAAAACAAGCAAAACATGCAATTTAACAATAGCTTTATGAACAATTTAAAAATATCATTTGATTTTACGACTGCCATTTTGAACGCTATCTATGCATGAGGAGCAAAACGAATTCAGGTAAATCTTTTATAAAAAGTTATTTTTGGATAAACTGCCGCATTCAATTTATGCACATTTTACGCAAAGCTGTAAGAACATCATCAGACTTTTCGTACGTTATTGCAAATGTAATTTTTGAAAGATTAGAAAAACTATTTTCTGTGTATGCAAGAATGGGTTTATAAACAAATTTACAAAAAATGTCATTACGAACTTAATTTGAAACACCAGCAAAATTAATTCATCAAAATTTTTCGTAAAACTAATCTAATGCAAATTTCTGCATTAAATTCAATGAACTATGAAAGAACACTTTACAAACATTCCATTTTACAGACATTATTACAAACTACATTTAAAAAACACGTCGCTCTACGAACAATTTAAAAAATATTACGAATAACCTTAAAATCATAGTATTTTGCAAGTTATTTTGAATATATTTAACAAAAACGTTTCTGTGCATGCAAGAATGGCTTTATGTCATTTTAAGGACGTCATTATGAAATTCATTCGAAACATGAGCAAAACAAATTCACGAAAATCTTTTGTAAATCCGATCTTACATAAAATGTTACACTGAAATTTAATTTATTAATATATGATTATTAATAATGTTTTTTCGAACAAATTACACAGAAATCTACTTGCGTTTCATGAATGAGGCCCAAAATATTAAGTATTAATTTAAATTTCATACTTAAAGTACATTGCGTTTACTGTTTATCGTTAATGACGTCATGAAAGCAGTACTCACCCTCGTCGCTGGAGGCTTCCTGTTTGACTATGGAGTGAGGAGAGCGCATGGGCGGCTTGCTGAACGGATGTCTTCGACTCTTCTTTACCTCAACTTTCTTCTTCAGCTTCGTGAAGGGACTTGGCTGAGAACAAAAACATTTAACGATAATTTACCTCAACGTTTAAAATCCCCTAAAAACCCTTTTGGGATCAGAGAAAGCGCTGACCTGCAGGCCGGGAGTGGCTCCATTACTCTCAATGTCGCTGGAAGCGAAATGCTCAAACACCTGCTGGAAGGAGAGCTCGTCGGGATGCTTTGGCTTCTTCTTTTTCTTCTTCTTCTTCTTCTCCTCCTCTCTGTTTTCCGGCGGAGGATCCTGGGAATCTGTTTTTCCGTCTTCACCGGCTGAACAACAACAAAGATGGAGGAATGGCAAGCAAATACCATCACACGTTCAGTAATAACAAGGCGTGTTACTATGTGGTTGCTAGGGTTTATGGGGTGGTTTCTATATGTTAAAAGTTCACTCCCGTCACCTTCCTCCCGAAGCGCCGCTTCCGCCTGCTCCTGCTCCTCCCTCTCCAGCGCCTCCAGCGTGAGGAAAGTTCCCTCCCGTCACCTTCCTCCCGAAGCGCCGCTTCCGCCTGCTCCTGCTCCTCCCTCTCCAGCGCCTCCAGCGTGAGGAGCGCCTCCCGCGCCATGCGCTCGTCCCTTTGCTGCCGTCGCTGCTGCTCGCGCTCCTCCACCTTACGTAGATACTCACTCATATCCAGCTCCACTCCGTCCTCCACCAGGACCTTCACCTCCTCCAGCTTCAGACGCCGGAACTGTTTCATCCTCGCCTGAGCTCTACGAAAAAAAAAAAACAACACAAACGGATAACAAAATTATTTCAACTCACACATTTCCCACTTCATAGTTTTTATTTATTATGATTTGAACTGTAATGGTCAAAAGTCAATAAAAACTTTGTCGGAGCTCTACAAAAAACATCGCTAATGGATAAACTTTTATTTTAAACAAAACGTTTCCTGCTTGATACTTTTTATTTATTACAATTCAGGTAACAGGTCAATAAAAACTTTGCCTAAGCTCCACGAAAAAAAACAACAACAACGCGAACACAAATTAGTATTAAAAGTAAAAATTTGTAAAAAAAAAAGTATTACGATTCGAAAATTAAAGGTGAAATGTCAATAAAAACCTTGCAGAGGTCTACAAAAAACATCGCAAATGGATAAACTTTTATTTTAAACAAAACGTTTCCTACTTGATACTTTTTATTTATTACAATTCAAGTAACAGGTCAATAAAAACTTTGCCTAAGCTCTACGAAACAAAACCTTTTCCCACTTCATAGATTTATGTATTACGATTCGAAAATTAAAGGTGAAATGTCAATAAAAACCTTGCAGAGGTCTACAAAAAAACATTGCAAATGGATAAACTTTTATTTAAAACCAAATGTTATCCCATTTGATAGTTTTTATTTGTTATGATACGAACAGTAAAGGTCAAAGGTTAATAAAAACTTCACCTGAGCTCTACAAAAAAGTAACATAAACGGATAACAAATGTTTATTTCAACCCAAAAACCTCTCGCTTGATAGTTTTTATTTATTACAATTCGAACAGTAAAGGTCGATAGAAACTTTGCCCAAGCACTTCAGAAAAAAAAACAACGCAATGGATAATTAACTTTTATTTCAACCCAAACGTTTCCCACTTGATAGTTTTTATTTATTACGATTCAAACCGATTCAAAATTAAACAATTAAAATCATTAAAATTAAACAATGATTTTTTTTCCCACCGGAAAAACCTTTGCGTGAGCTCTATGAAGAACAACCAAAATGGATAACTTTTATTTCAAACCAAGTTTTCTGACTTGATAAAATTCTAATTATTAAAATTCTAACAATAAAAGTAATTTCACATCCATGGCAAATTTTCGCAGAGACGTTGTTAAAACGAAACAATGCATTTGCACGTTGTTGACCAGTAACAAAAAAAATACCATAAATTCAATTTTTTCTGTATTACAATAGCTGTACTAGTATTGCGGTATTTTAAACATTCATATCATAACAAAAATAAACACCGGTATTCGGTATGAACCGGTATACCGCCCAGCACTACTATATCTGACCATAAACGTCATTGTAACGTGTCATTCCTACATCTCGACTTTTTACTTTTATCATTCCAATAAGATACTATGAGCAATTTAACAATGTTTTGCGTTTTGCATTAAAAGCACATAGTATACTCACTACTTACGAACATTTTCGTGGTGACATGTTAAAACAAAACAAGTTTCCATAAAGCATGTTTTTTTTTTTTTCAGGGGACTGACGAAAATTAGTTTCTAAAATCAACAATAAAGGCCAACTAGCAGATTTTTGCCGCAACAAAATAAAACACTGAAAATTGTGGGCACCTGCGCAGGAGCTTCTCTCTGTACGTGACTCTGGTTTTCCTCCAGTGCTCCAGCTTGGAGCTGGTGAGGCTCGTGGGTTTCAGGTGGTCCAGGACCGTGTTGTCTTTCCCCTGTTTCCACAGCTCGTAGCGGTCAGGCTGCAGACAGCGAACGAAGACGTCCATGGAGATCTTCACCATGTCTTTACGGCACGTGCACTGCAGAAGACAAACGAGAACCAACAACTTTAGAGTCAACAATTGTAAAACAGTTCTGACTGCATGATATATGATGTGACACAATGACGGCCAATCAGAATGAATTTAAAGTTTAGTACACAACTATGTGGAGTGATATTGTAGACCAATGAGATTCCAGGGAGGGCGGGGCTAATCAGCACAAAAAAATGTGTATTTATTTATTTATTTGTATTATTGTATAGTATCATTTTTAAAAATGTATTAATTTTAATTTATATTGCATTATATTATTCAGTTTAAACATACACTTTTGCACGCATTTTTCATTTTATTTTTGGCCTTCAGTTTTGAGATTAAAAGAACAATCTAGAGTAATATGAATAAAATGTAAATTAATTTAAAATGTGTTAAATATTTATAAATATTATATATTAAAAATATTAATGCATTAATAATGATGAATAAATATTAGCATAATTAATGTAATATTAATACAAATTCATTATTATAAAATAAAATACTATGCAAATTAAAAATAAATATATCTAACACACAAATATATAAATTAATATATTTAAATTAAAAGAATTATACAAGGTAATCTAAATTAAAATAAAATACATTAAAAAAATAATACTACACATTAATACAAATATTTAAATTTAAAAAATTCAATGTAGATTATTTAAATACATAAGTACTTTTAAATCAATTTGCTAGGAGCAGATTTAAAGTAAATTTGAAGTAGAATATTTCAACGACAACAAAATATTGTGTTTTTATAATATATATGCAAATTCACTAAAAAAAGGACCTTAACAACTACAAAATATTGGGGTTCAAAAAGATGAAACTGTATAACAGATGAGAATCAAATGAACTGCATCATGGGAGTCGTGTCTGAAACAACGATTGAAAGGAAAACGAAGGCGATGGAGACGAGATGTGATGATTAGATGAAATAAGTCTTCATGCAGGTGCGCAGACGTGAGATGATTAAATCATCAGCGCCGACGACTGGAAGGGAAAAAAACACGCTTTTAATCGCAGAGTTTGCACGGCGTGGACCGAAGTGAAAAACGCACAAATCAACATCTCTCAGTCTACAGCGAGAGAGAGAGACGGATGGAAATGAAAGTCATTTTCCTGCGAGCTGCAGTTGGCTGTATTAGATCGAGCCGTTATTTCCTGCGCCGGAGCTGCTGTTCAATTACCAGAAACATTCTGCAGCTGAAGTGAAGACAAACACGGCAAACCCTGTGTGTGTGTGTGTGTGTGTGTGTGGGCATAATAATGGCAACAAGCGCTATTCTTCACTCTGAAATGTCAATGTCTCACAGAGTAACTCCAGGGCTTGCCATATTATGCTCAGAAATGCAATTCCAGCCCGACTGGAAGGATCCGACTCCACCTGGAAAACAAGCGGTGCTGAGGAGAGGAACCAACCAAAACTAAAAGTACAATCATGCTGTGAACATTTTTCAGGAGCGTAACTGAGACTCAGCTGTTTCCAAAACACTTCTACATTTCTTTAGCAAAAATTGTGACAATAGGCAGATACATATGTGTGTGTGTGTGTGTGTGTGTGTTTCAAAATCTGTTTAAAAAAGAAAAAGTATGTATTGTATTATTTTAGACTGCAACAATGAAAAATTAAACTGGAAAAAAGCATATAAAAAGCATATATTTATAAATATATATATATATAAGTAAATTAAAAGAGTAATAAATAAATAATAAATAATGCATAATAATTTAAAGTAATATAAGTTAAAACTAATAAATATAAAATTAATAGTATAAATGAATAAAAATAAAATGCATAAAATGTTAAATATAAAAATAAAAACATATTTAACATTAAATCTGTAGTGGAATAATTGGAGAAAAAGGAGAAATATATATATATATATATATGCAAAATGGCAAAAAAGTCCCTAAAAACTTCAAAATACTGGTAAAAATTGTAAATATATATTTATATAAATACATTTTTATAAGCATATTTGGAAAACATTGTAAAAAAATATATATATATGCACTACGGTTTAAAAGTTTGAGGCAATATTTGTTTCTGTTTTTTAAAGAAGTCTCTTATGATCCCAAAGCTGCATTAATCTGATCAAAAAATTTAAAATATTATTACTATTTAAAATAACAGTTTTCTATTTTAATATATTTTTTAAAATGTAACTTATTCCCATGATGCAAAGCTTAATTTTTCAGGATTCTTTGATAAATAGAAAGCTCAAAAGAATAGCATTTATTTTAAACAGAAATCTTTTGTAAGATTGTAAATGTCTTTACTTTAGCTTTTGATCAATTTAATGCATCCTTGCCTTAAAAAATGTCAAAGTTTCGCATTGTAGTGAATATATAAATTTAAAATGAAACAAAACAAAAAAAAAGAATTAAAGATATGTATAAAAAGTGAATAAAAAGTGAGTATAAAAGTTTTTACACCGTAAAATAAAGTTGAAAAAAGAACAAAAACAATTATTTTGACACTGAACTCTCTGAGATCAATCTCTTTTATTGCTGAATTTCTCACTGCTAAACCAATAAATGGAAATGGAGAGAGAAACAATCACAGGCCTCTGAAGACACCAGAGCAATGAAGCTGCATCTCATATCGGAGATGAACATGTTAATAACTCTGTAAACTCATCGTGTCTCTCTCTCTAGACCCGGTCTGGCCATTACATGAGCCGTTGCAGTTCGATTATTACCGGTTTCTCTGAGATCTCACACGCGATGGGCGATTTATTCACAGTACATTCACAATGATAGAAAATCAAGCAATACTGTGAATATCACAATGATTTTAATGTGCTTTTTTTTAATCTGATTGAAAGATTAATTCACGGCACCATTAAAATTTTTTAATTTTTCACGCATAAAAATGTATATATAACAAATATGCATGTTCACAGCATCAGCAACACTGCTATTGCACATAAAAGATTCTTTAACAGGACAGAAATCAGTGTTTTGTCATGAATGTGCAGGTTTCCAGATCTCTGACTAACGAGGCTCTCCGTCAGACGCCTGCAGAAGAGGAACGGAAATAAAGAGTGGGACTGAGAGCGACGCGAGAGAGATTCAAACACAAGACCATGAGCTTGAATTAGCTGCGCGTCTGTGACCCCACATTCAGCACATCGCTAATCATTACAATACATGCAGATCACGGGAGAGAGAAGGACAAACAAAATAAAGCTAGCAAGAGAGGAAGAACAGAAAAAGAACAAAAAAAACCCAAGGAAATGAAAGGAACAATCAAAACAAAAGAACGGACGAAAACGACAAACAAAAAGAAAAAAGTAATGAAAAGGACGCACAAAAAGAACAAACAAACAAGGACAAACAAAAAGAGAGAAAAAGAACAATCAAAAAGAAACAATAAATAGAAAGAACAAAAAAGAACAAACAACAAACGAAAAGAACAAATGAAAAGAAAAACAAAAGAACAAAAAGGACAAACAAAAAAACGAATGAAAAGGACAAACGAAAAAACGAATGAAAAGGACAAACGAAAAGAGAAAAAGAACAATCAAAAAGAAACAATAAAAAGAAAGAACATGAAAAGGACAAACAAAAAGAAAATGAAAAGAAATATAAAGAACAAATGAAAATGACAAGCAAAAAAGAATAAACGAAAAGGGCAAAAGAAAAGAAAAACAAACAAACAACAAAAAGGACAAAAAAAACTATGAAAAGGACAAATATAAATAAAGAACAAATAAAAAAAAAGAACAAAGAACAAATGAAAGGCAATAAACAAAAAGAAAGAAGAAACAAAAAGAAAAAGAAAGAACAAAAAGGACAAATGAAAAGAAACAACAAACAAGAAAAAGCACAAACAAAAAGAAAAAGAAAAAGAAAGAACAATCAAAACGAAAGAACAAATGAAAGACAAACAGAAAGAAAAAAGTAATGAAAAGGACAAACGAAAACAATCAAAAAGAAACAATAAAAAGAGAACATGAAAAGGACAAACAAAAAGAAAATCAAAAGAAAGGACAAACAAAAATAAAGAAAACGAAAATGACAAAAGAAAATAAAAACAAACAAACAACAAAAAGGACAAACAAAAAAACAATGAAAAGGACAAATAGAAAGAAAGAACAAACAAAAAGAAAAGAACAATCAAAACGAAAGAACAAATGAAAGACAAACAGAAAGAAAAAAGTAATGAAAAGGACAAACGAAAAGAAAGAAAAAGAACAATCAAAAAGAATCAAAAAGAAAGAATCAATGAAAAGGACAAACAAAAAGAAAATGAAAAGAAAGGACAAACAAAAAGAAAGAACAAACGAAAATGACAAGCAAAAAGAATAACAAACGAAAAGGGAAAATCAAAAGAAAAACAAACAAAAATTTACAAAACCCAAAAGAAAGGAAAAAACGTGAAGGGATGTGAACGAGCAAACAAAAGCAGCAAATGAGAGCAAATGAAAGGATGAATGAACGAGCAAATGAATCAGGCACAAAGAAGCAAGAATCAATGAAAGCATGTGAAATAACTAACGAAAGCACAAAAGAACAAAACACAAGAATGAGTGTGAGAAAGGCGCAGTGACTGAAGGGAGTCGTGCAGTGAACCGCTGGGTCTGTCGTCTGTCGAGCTAAACTCGCGCTCACCTGCGTGGCCATCTTGCCGTAGTCGATCCAGCGCAGGGTTGCGAAGTTCGTGGACTCGGCGCAGTTGAAGCCGTGGTTGAATCCGGCGTGATATCCGTACGGGAACGTGATCATGAACTCGCCCTCCTCCTGCGTGATCTACCAGAGAAACAAAACAGCAGCAAAATCATCACAACGAGGCCCGTGCGCAAAACCTACGCCATCGCTTTACGTCATCTGTGCTGATTATGGTGTAAAATCTTGTTAGTTGCACAAAATTAATACAATAAAATACGTAAGTGGGAGAATTAGATTCGTATGCCGATGTTGGAGAACTGTAAAGAGTACAGCGTTTTATAACGGAAAAAATTGCTAAAATGGTATACGCTAAAAAGTAAAAGAAAGACTGTGAAAATACAATTAATTAATTTATTTATTTATTTACTTTTTAACGCCATGCCAGCATCAAGGTTATTTTCATGGCGATCTCTGAATAAATTATACAAGGTATACAATTGAAAGAACAATTAAAAATTAAGGAATTATGTGAACAAATTGATAAACAAAAAAGAAACAAAACAACTTACTACTTTTATTAGCTATTTAATTGATGAATACTTAAAAATTAAAAGTCAAATGAAATACAAATTGATACTTTTAAATTAAATTCACTTAAAAAAGGAACAAACTCCTTTTATTATTATAATTTAATTAATAACTAAAATGTCAACTAAAATAATGAAATTTACTTTTAAGTTAAATTTAATTTAATTAAAAAGTGAGGTATTAACTGTAAAAAATGTGCAATTTTAATCGCGAAAAATAGATAAAATAATACATACACAAAAAACTAGATAAAGAATTAATAATAAACAAAAAGAAATGAAACAACCTATTTCTTTTGTTACTTCTATTGTTTGAAGTTTTAATTAATAGACGACGAATTAAAAAATAATTAAAACATGACAAAGAATTATGAATGTAAAAGAAAAAACAAATCAAATTAAAGAAAAACGACAAATGAACAAAAAAAAAAGAATACTTTTATTATGTGTAATTTAAAAATTAATGCATGGATAATTGAAAAATACTAAATTAAAAAATAACAAACAAAAGCAAGAGAGAATTATGAATGTGAAAGAACAAAATGAAGGAATTAATGAAAATTGATTAACAAATTAAGGAACAAATGCATAAAAATATAACACAAATAAATGAATACAATTTAATTAACATAAATAGTCAGGTATTATGGTGTAAACTCACATTAGAAAAAAAAAACAGATTGCAAATGTTATATATATATATAAAAGCACAAGTGTCTTTGCGAATAACGAGTTTGACTGTCAATATCTGCAGCACTTTCTTGTGAATTCTGCACGTGTGCTAATAATCATGAAGCCCTCGGCTCATCCTCACGGGACGCATGTGTCTCTGAAGATGGAAGCGCTAGACGCTTAATTTTTTCCCGGCTATTGCTCCGCTACCCTACATATTATTAATTTCATCCAGCTCCACAGTCTTCTGGGCGAAGGCAACATTTAAAGGACTCAGTGAACTGTACTTTGATGAAAGAGCCAATAACTGCTGAATTAAGCTGCAAACGACACTTCAGAGGGAGAAAAGGTCGTCGCGGGAAAATCAGCCGAGACTGAGAAACACGCCGGCTTCCAGCGCTAATATCCGTAGCCATTAGCGGCTGATGGGAAAAGAAATTTGCTGTGAGAAATCTTCCACCTCTCCTCTCGTTTTCTCCCTCCATTCATCGTCTCCTTCAGACCTCGGCCGCCGCCGGCCAAACGAAACGCTGGAAAGACATTTCCAGACGCTATGAGTGCAATTAAGGTGGAGGCGCGGAGCATGGCGGAGAGTTAGCCAGCCTTAGCTAATGAATATTTTCATTTCACTCCGTCGTTTTCTAGCTTTGCGATCGGTGGAGTCACGCTTCAGCATCACGCTGACGTCTATTAGAAAGAAAGTCAGATTCATTAATGCGGTTTTGAGTCATATTTCACTGCTACGTGTCTGGTGTTTCTGTAGAATTAGTCCTCGGGCATTTGTACATTTAACGAAATTAGATTAATTCCACACCTGTAGAGAACTGTAGGGTTAGTATTGTGTTATAGAGTGTCGATTACAGCTCAGACAAACATAAATGAATAAATAAGTAAATAAATAAATATTTTAAAATTAAAAAAATTAAAATTAAATAAATACATTTACAATGCAATATAAACATAATAAAACATTATTTAAAGTAAAAATATTTAAAATAAATAATTACAATGAACAAACAAAAGAAAAAATGTCAACGTGGGAATAAGCACCAAAAATAACATGAAAAAGTATAACAAAAATAATATGACAAAAATGGAAAAAGTAAACTAAATTAATAAAATTAACTTTTAAAATAAAATGTAATTTTCATTTTTTTTAAATTACATCAGGTATCATGGTGTACATTTGCATTACAATAAAAAATCTGATTGCGAAAATATTATATATAGAAACTATTTAATAAGTAGTTAATAACGCATTTGAATTTCCATATTCCAATTTTACTTCCATAATGCAAAAAACTATTTTCATTTGAACTGAATCGAAGGAAAAAAGTCAAGCAAAGTAATAAAATTAACTTTTAAAATAAAATGTAATTTAAATTTAAAAAAAAAATAAAGTCAGGTATTATGGTGTACATTTGCATTACAAAAAAAATCAGATTGCAAAAAATAGAATTTTAATAAAAAATACATTCAGAGAAATTTAGTGTAATTTTGTACATTTGCATTACATTAAAATCTGATATTACCGTATTGGCCCGAATATAAGACGACCGCGTTTTTTCAGATGTATTTCCAAGAAAAAAACATCGTCTTATATTCGGGTCAACACGGTATATAAATATATCATATATATTAAAATAAAAATAAAAATAAATAATTTAATGTAAAAAATGACTTTTGACTGAATTTTGCATTACTGTATTGTAAATAAAATAAATAAAAAATTAAAGACATTTAAAATAAATAATAAAAAGTATTAATTTAAAATAAAATCTAAACCTAAACGCATATTAATATATTTACTTTAGTTTTTAAACGTTTTTCCACCAAATATTAATGCAAATTTACAGAAAATGAGAGAGAACCTAAAACAGGACTTTAAAGTCTCAAAAATCTGACCCGCAAAAAAAAAACAAAAAAAACTTTGAAATCCCTTCAAATCAACATGAAATAATTTACTACCGATTTTACTTCCATAATGAGTGTATTTTAGAGTGTTGTTCAACAAGAAAAAAAGTACATTTTGATTTCATGTTGACATTACTTTAAGGTTCTTCAAAGTAGAGCATCCAAGAAACATCCTATATATTGGTATTAAGTCTAGTATTATGTTTCATACAGTCTTAACTGTCACTATAATGGCGGAGCGGATGAGATTTAATGCATGATTCCTGGGTTTCTCCTCACACTCACGCCGATTGTTCGCTAGCAGGAGTTTGAGCTGAAGCTCTAATAACGTCCCCAGACACACGGAGAGAGACAGACAGACAAGAAACCTGCTGAGATCAACACTTCAGCGTCTCCCTCTCCGTTTCATCTCACTCCAGCTCCACCGAGTGTCACATCGACTCAAAAGTGACAATAACATCCGTCGCATGGAGGAGCGGCGGATGCCAAAATCAGGATTGCAAGGGTTGAGTGTAACGTATAGTGGCGCTGAACTTTATCTAGCCTCATTACAGAGATTTATTCCCGGTTTAATCTCGCCGCGAGGGTCTCGGGCTCCTAACAATGGGAATTATCTGTGGAAAAGACTAATTTGCGCAAACGGAAACGGACGGCGGAGTAAATTGAAATGTAATCCGTGGCGCGGACGCTAGCAGGGGTCCGTGGTTGGCATATAAAGCGCGTTTGTTGTGCAAATACACATACAATTATGTGTGTAGTTTACCACCCTCGTCATCTTTGAATGCGAAGCTAAGCGCTAACTAGGGTTGGGTATCCAATTGATTCCGATTCCGATTCTGCTTATCGATTCCGATTCTTATCGATTCCTAGTTTAACGTAACTTAACTGATAACCGCACTTTAGTTCATTAGTTTTGGACACTATAATTGTGATAAGAAATTTTCATACCGTTACATCCCTAATCATCACATTTTTAAAATAATTGAAATGTATTATGCAAATTATCACATAATAGCATGAAACAAATTACAATAAATAGTTTAGCTTCTTTTACTGGCGTATTAATGAAACATGAGTAATAAAATGTTTGTGTAAGTAGTTCTTGAATTGAAAATTGTCGCATTCATTTTGATGAATTTGCATTAGCGCTTCAGCATTAGCAAATGTAGCAGAGTCAGATACAAAACTGGGATATTATTGGGTCAAGCTAGACCATTCTGAAATCTTTGTTCACAAAATTTTGATCGTTTGCACTAGGGCTGTCAAAAAAAAATCTAGTTTCGAATATTTGTCAAATTTAAAATAAAAGTCCACATTCGAATGCAAAAACGTTGCATTGAATTTTAGGTGTGCGTTAAGGAGGAAGCCTTATCAGTGGCCCATGAGATGCGATGACGATGTAAGTGTCATTGCGTTTTAATGTTTTTGTTAGCCTATCCAGTTGAAGCCACTAGATGCGGCGCTGCTGCGTTGTTCATTAAAAATATAGCGGAAAAAGATAACATTAATGCGGAGAAGATCTTGTTTACATCAAAACTGAAAACAAGCCGTTCTAGAGGGGCATCTATCACAGTTGCACTCGCATCTCGCACAAAGGAGCCGCATGGTTAGAAAGCCATGTAAAATTAATGCAGGTTTAACTTTGGAAAAAAACATATATCGAGATTTTATGGCGGGTTTTTTCCCCATCCCACTGCAACTCATGTTTTTAAATGAAAAATGTACTCTGTGTGATTGGCTTTCGGCCCTTTGTATTAAACTATGCATGCATACACGATGCTGTTTTGTTTATAGTTGTTTAAGCAATATAACTGGTTTATAAACATTATTTTAAACATTATGCACTTTTTTCACCGATAGTCATGTTATCTTATGCTTTGAATAAACGTGCATTAGTAATATTTTGCTCGATGCGCCCTCTTGTGGCCTCAGAAGAGAAGCCAAAAGCTTTTCTTCACCCTAACTGAAATTATGCATTTTAAATTTGAATATAATTCGAATTTTGATCATATTTAAGTACAAAATTCGAATGTAGTTTTTCAGCCATTTTGACAGCCCTACTTTGCATGCAAAAAAACATAATTCGTTAAACGTGAACATTAAAAAACTTAAAGCTACGTGCCTTAGTGATTACAAATGAATAGATTGAATTTATGTAAATTGTTGATAAATCATCAGCTCGCTGATATAATCAAATCCGACACATGTAAATTATATCTGATCCTCTCAGATAGCCCACCTGATCTTCTGCTGATCTTTTATGGCTTTTATAGATTTGCTCTTTGCGTCTCAGTCAATATAAATTGCACAGTTGGGTTGCTATGGATGCGCTGATCTCTATAAGTCCCATCAGATACCATTACTATGGCAACATCGAAACACACATACCGACTTATATAAACTGGACTATATTTAGATCATTACTGAATCAAACTCTAAGACATGAAGATCGCATGATGTTTCTGCAGGAAATAAATTATTATATATAAACTGGCATTTGCAAAAAAAAAATTTAAAAAAAAAAAAAAAAAAAAATTATTAGTTTATTAGAGTTATTACTAAGCTATGAGAGACTATGAATAATAGTTTAAAATTATTATTATTATTATTATTTCAGAGTTGGTAAAAATTTAATAAATTGACAATAGCTGCGTCTCATTTCAGAGGCTGCGTCCTCCGGAGGTCGCATTTGAAGTCTGCATACGTCATCAAGGATGTCTTATTTAAGAAAAGTAAAATGGACTGTTATTCCTTGTTTATTGAAGATTCAGGACAACCACCTAGCAGTGCATTACAATAGTCCAGTCTAGAGGTCATGAATGCATGAACTAGCTTTTCTGCATCAGAAACAGGTAACATGTTTCGTAACTTGGCAATGTTTCTAAGATGGAAGAATGCTGTTTTTGTAACATGGGAAATATGATTTTCAAAAGACAAGTTGCTATCTAATATAACACCCAGATTTTTGACTGTAGAGGAAGTAACAGTACATCCATCTAGTTGCAAATTGTAATCCAAGAGATTCTGTGTACTGTCTTTTGGTCCAATAAGTAATATCTCTGTCTTATCCCAATTTAATAGGAGAAAATTATTGGTCATCCAATCTTTTACATTTTTAACACACTCTGTTAGCTTAGATAATTTAGAAGTTTCATCTGGTCTTGTTGAGATATATAGTTCAGTATCATCAGCATAACAGTGGAAAATAATCCCGTATTTTCTAATAATATTACCAAGGGGCAACATGTATATTGAAAATAGCAGAGGACCTAGGACAGATCCTTGTGGCACTCCATATTTTACTGGAATAAATATTTTACATATTTATTCCTTGTGAGGTGTAAAATACTGTAATTTCTTTTTTACTTTGCAATTTTACGGTTACTTTTCTTAAATGAGTCTGCCCCAATGACGTATGCAGCCTTCAAATGCGACCTCTGGAGGACGTAGCCTCCGAAATGAGACGCAGCAAATGATTTTATCCAAATGTTAATCATAGAGGTTCACAATTGACAATTAACACTAATTAAAAAAAATTAATAAAAATTAAAATCTTTGTTTAATTGGTTTCATGTTATGTGATAATCTATATCTATATCTATAATCTATGTAAAAAATATAACAACAAATTGTAAATTAAATGTTATATCAGTACTATTTTGTTTTATTTAAAAATAATAAATAGATAATAAATTATTAAAAGCAAAGTTTTTTAACTTGTATATTTATTATTGATTTTTTTATTAATTTATTATTATTACAGTACTACTGTATTTATAATTTATTATATTAATAAATAATGATTGCATAATGACATGAAACAAAAATTCTTCACATTATGATGTGACAATCTGCATAATACAATTATAATTATATTAACAGTAAATAAATTAAATACATATTTTTGTTGTTATTATTATTATCATTTCAGTAATACTTTACTTACTAATAATACTACTAACAATAATAATGCTAAATAAATAATTCAAATGAAAATTTGCTGTACTGATAAGTTTTTGATTTATAGTTAATTATTATTACACTTTTAATGTGTTTATAATGTATTGCATACTATCACAAAAACACACAGCATCTGATTTTGTGAACCACTATGATTAACATTTGCATTGATAAAATCATTGTCAATTTATTCCAGTTATCACCAGCCATATTATCTGAATGAACATTTGTGCTGTCTGAGTGACAGGAAGTGATGCAATAATGTGTGAATAACTCACTCTGTCAAAGGGGATGCTGTATTTCTTCAGGATGGATGGCGAAAGGAGGGTCATCTTGTGACGGAGAAACGCGTCGCAGCCCTGAGAACTTCCTGGGAAAAAACCTGCAGAAAGCCACAAACATCAAAAAGAGCGAGAGTAAGACGATGCCAACGGATGAAGCCCTGAAATAAACAGACTGAAGATCTTTAGAGGACATTATAGATATATAGATATAGATAGATATACATTATTAGAGGATATTATGTAATTCATTGTTATTAACTTCTATTATGATAATAACATTAACAATAACAACTAATTCTAATTCACAATAACATTAGAAATACATTAGAAATAAAACAATTCATTATATATTCTTTTTCTTTTTCTTTATTATTAAATTAACAATCATTATTAGTATTATATTATTATTATTATTTTTGATGCTGTTGTTACTATTAATATTGAGATTATGAAGATTGCAAGATGATTCACATACATTTTTTATACAATTCATTCCTTATAAATACATTTTTACACTGCAAAATCTTTGAACTTTGATCAAATTATATGATAACAATTTGTTTTATACATGAAAAATATATGTAATAATATATTAAATTAAAATGAAATATATATATATATATTAGACTTGTGCCGGTATTCGGTAATGCGATATATCACGGTAATGTGAAAATTTGATACCGGCATATCCCTAATATATATATATATATATGTGGTTCATATTATTACATAATTTATGTTATGATAATTTATATACTAATAATACATTATAAATATATTAAATATATTAACTCTACATATATATTAATGAACATTATTATTATTATATTATTATTTTCATAATAATTCTTAAATTCAAAATAAAATCATACATATATTTTGAAGATTGTATGATGTTCCTTTCACATACAGATTATATATACACTTTTATAGAGAATTTAATTCCTTGTAAATAAAATTCTTTGAAATTTATTCCACAAAACAACAACAATAATAACAATTTAAAAAATTGTAACATCTTTAAGGATTTTCATATCATATTTCATATTTTCATACTATTATTATTATTATTATTATTATATCAATAAAATGCAGAAAATGGATGATTTAACCCAATATTACCGTGTCTAATGTCTGTTTATACTGAAGTCTATTACATCATTAGCAACATGCTAATGCAAAACTACTGGAATTAACTTTAATTCACGTTTCATGAATGTTAGCGGTTACCAGTTAGCATACCGTCTAATGTAGGCTAGTCAGTACAGAGCAGGGCTTTAGCACAGAGCCGATGTAAAGCCATTACAGTGAAATCATCTGTGGAGATTCAGAAGCGAGCGCTTATTACACGCATAACGTATAATCACCGGATTTGAGGTTACGGGTAAAAGCTGCGTGCGTCAGATGCTCCGGTGCACATCAGCCGCGCGCTGAATCACGCTGAAAGTCTTTAATTATTATAATCGGCTCCTCATTCCTGCCCACAGATTACAATAAAGGTCATAACGACACAACCAAAACATCTGATAAACACCACAATAGTGCAAACACGCCGTTTCAGAGCGTGTGATTCATACGCAGCGACAATACGCTTAAGTGGCTTTATCTGCTTAAATATGGCAGATTTTGAGTAACTTTCACTTAGCGGAGAACTTTTGCCACAGTAACTTAAGACGTTACGATCATTCATCGGCCGTTTCTCTTTGTTTAGCGTGCTATTGTTGATACAATCGCGCTAAAACAAGTGAAGTTTTGCGTCTCTTCGATCAATGCAGCGGTTGTCCTGCGCTAACGGTGCGAACGCGTGTATTTGTGCGCAAAACCTGCGTGTGAACAGTTTCACACAGAAATCAGGATTCATCAACATCAAGTTACAACTTAAATTTACTCTAAATGTAGAGTAGAAAAATTAAAAAAATATATATGAAATGTTAAAATATCATATATATATATTCAAACAATATACAATTGTTAATGATACATTTATAAAAAATAATAAGAATAAAGTTTCAAAATATTTATAAAATGTTAATTTTATATAAATAAAAATGAAGTTCAAAAAACATATTACAAATATATATAATCAATAAACATAATATTTTACAAAAAAAAAATCTAATTTTATTTCTATAAAGAACAAATGTAGAGTTAAAAAAATTATATGAAATGTTAAAATATTAAATATAATAAACATAATATTGTACAAATTTTTTACAAATTTTTTTCAAAAATTATATACAATCATTAATAAAAAATAAAAATAAAAAATTAGAAGTTTCAAAATATTTATAAAATGTTAAAATATTTCATATAATAAACATAATATTTTACAAAAAAATCACTTTCATATCTATAATGAACAAATGAAACCACATGTTCAAATATTTACTTTTTTATTTTAAATAATTGATTATCTCTGCAAAAATAAATAAAAGCATACATTTTAACATTTATAAAATTATATTAGAATATTTTATAGAAATTATCATAAAAATAAAACATAACATATAATTTTTAAATAAATAAATATATTGGGTTTATATCTATAATAAATGGATGTTCAAAATACATATATAAAATTACATATATTAAAATACAAATAATAATAATAATGAACAAAATAAATACAATAAAAAATATAATAAATACAAATAAAATAAATATTAAAATCATCTAGGATGTATATCTATAAAGAACAAACGAAACATGTTAAAAAGAGGACATTTGCAAAACAATCTATTAATTTACGTATACATTTTGTATATTTTAAATTTAAATATATATAAATATATGTATTATCATAAATATAAACAAATATTTTTAAAAAATCATCTTGGGTTTATATCTATATATATGAACAGATATTCATATAATATAATAATTAAAAGAATAAAATGTCATTTTTAGTAAAAAATATTGTTACTATAATAATACCGATAAATACAATAACAATATAAACACACAAACTTTAGCGTCTGTTAGTCCACGTTTGTAAAGTTAAATATCGTAAAATATTTCCAGCCAAAAATATTGAAAATCATGCTAGTTACAGGAGTTTTTTCCTCCTGTAAGCGCGTTGCTATAACGTACAATATATTTCTTCCACTTCCTGTTATTCGTACAGCAAAAAACAGAGCAGCAACTCTGTTAAAACAAGGTATATGACATAAAAAGAGGCCTCGCACTTTCAAAACAGCATTAGACGTCTTCAGGAGCTGAAGAGGGGATCGTCCAACTCTGCAAAGCGCCGTTACTCACTGCGACCGATGATAATATATCGTCAGTCTGCCTTTGTTTCGTCTTTTAACGCAGATTTAACAGATGAAAAGGATGCGGCGATGGTTAAAACCAGGCGTCTAACGCGATGGAGTGTGAATTCATATTTTTATGCACGGATATACAGGAGTTTTGCATAAACCATTAGTGGCAACAGGCCTCGCATAACAGAAAGCTTTAGCGCAGTTCGCCACGATTCACGTCTCGGCCGCTTCTCTGACTCTCTTCAGGACCGTTTGAGATCAATGCAGAGGTTCTCCTTCGGTAACAGCGTGTGCTTGTGTGCAAAACGTGCGTGTGAAGAGTTTCACACAGAAATCAGGATTCATCAATGTGTTAGCACTTCAAGTGTTCAAACATAAAAGAATAAAATTAAGGATATTTATAAAATGTTAAAATATTTTATATACATAGTTAAAATACATGTATAAAAATAAACATTGCAAGTATAAATTTGTATGAAATAGTGTTAACATTTTATATTAAACAATATTGTTAAAAATATTTATAAAATATAATGTTCAAATATTTAATATAAATAAAATGCATATTTAAAAATATAAATCTGAATATTTAAAAATCATATTGAATGTATATCTATGAAGAATAAATGAAACAATATATTCAAAAGAGCGATAAAATAGGTACTTTTTATACAAATATACATTATGCAAGCACTCTTAATTTAAAAAAATATATATTTATAAAATCTGGTAACATTTACTATAAATAATAATGCAATAAAAAATAAATAAGAACAAAGTTAAGAATAATTATAAAATATAATGTTAAAATATTAAAATACATATTAAAAATAAACATGAATATGAACATTTAAAAAATAATCTTGAGTTTATAACCATAAAGAACAGAATAAACAATATTGTTCAATAATAACACATTTTGAATTTTTATAAAAAAATATAATACAATCGTGATTCATCAATAACTTTAATTTAAATTCATATATAAAATATCTATATATAGCCCTATATATATATATATATATCAATAAAAGTCTTATTTCAGAATTACAAAAATGAAGTGCATTAAAGGTTGATGACAGTAAAATACAACATTAATCATCAATCAAAGGATGAAAAAACAAACAACAACAACAACAAAAAACGTCCAAACGAGGGCGGAAAAAGACGAGTTGTGGCGTTAAAACGCTGTTGGTGTTTGTATATACGTCTGTCCTCTGTGTGACGTCTCAGCGCTGATCACTGAAAGCCCGGCGTCGTGTCGAGTGCTCGTTTAAAGCGGGGTGTTTGTTTAAGTGGGACAGGAGTTTGTGTATGTGGGTTATGGTAGCGTTTTGAAGTACAGCAGCCTCAGATCTCAGAGACACACAAACATCTTCACATCTCATAATCCACACAACCACAGGCAGACGCCTGGGCTTTCCTAGACAACTTTCGGGAGGTGCGGAGAGGATTTTCTGCCAGCACCGTCTCGCACCTCATTCAGGATTACGGCGATGTTTTGTCTGCGTAATTTGGGGCAGGAAAAGACCCGCGGTACAGGATTTTTCAGGTCTCAGGCCGTTCATCCTATAATGAACTTCTGCCATTATTTATACTCAAACCTGTATGACCTTCTTCCTCCAGTAAAACATAAACTGAGAAACTTCGCAGGATTTTCCTCACACAAATTTATCGTACGATTTCAAAAGACGTGAAATACAGCGTGCGGCTCATATGCACTACTGTTATGGTGCTTTTTAGCCATTTTTCACCAAAAGGGCTTATATCTTAAAAAAATTTAAGAAACTACAACGTTCCAAAAATAAATTAAATAAAATAAATTTCTATAAATGCATAAATTATATACATATCAATAAAAATAATACATATAAAATATACATCAAAATATATAAAACTAATATAAACATATATAGACAATAAATAAAAGTAAACTATAGACTTCATCGGTGTCGCGTCATAGCTGTGTGGGCGGAGTCGGCGTGGGGGAAAACAACCCTTTCCTCCTCATTGGAAAAGCATGGTGTTGACTCAGAATGGCCTACATAAAATCATTTCTGCCGCTCGACAGAGCAACATACGTATAAAAACTGAGCAGTATTGGGTCGGACTGTCCGTACGGTATCTGTGACTGGACAAACGACCCAACAGAATGGCCAGAGGTGTCGTTTCCCGACATTTTTTATTACCTACTTGAGCAAGAGACCGCTTACAAGC